TACACACACACACACACACACACACACACACACACACACACACACACACACACACAGGGCTCCCTTGTTCTGTTCCAGGCAGAAGCTGGCATCAGCGCTGCACTTTGAAAAGCCAGAAGCGTTTGGGTAGATGGGTAAGGGGAAAACATTTCGGAAACAAGGAAAATAGACACGACAGTGCCTCCTTCTGTTGTCCAGGCGGTGAATTCCTGGTCTCGGAAGAAACCCCAGTCCTTGGTGCATCCCCGAAGGTTAGTGGGATGGTGTTTAGCCCCCGAGAGGAGGAGCTGAGGAGCTACACCCCGCACTTGTGGATGGGCCAACAATACAGGTTCCCTTCTCTCCCCACCTTCCAGTTTGTAACATTCTCTTTTTCTGACTTTGGGGGTGGGGGTGGGCGGGTCGCAGTAAACCTGTTAACGGTAGCCGCACTCTCCATCCCACCAAGGCATCCCTGCCCTGGGGAGGGCATTGGTGGCAGGCATGAAGCTTAGGCTACTGGGCCTGGTGGAAAGACTGCGCCCAGAAACAGAAGAGGCCAGGGTAAGTATGAGCCGGTCTGCGTGGCTATGCGGATGCAGAAAAGACCTGAGTCAGGCTTCTCATAATAAACGGCACGTGAATAATTCAGCAGCCTCTGAGGCTCATTGCATTAGCGCCTTGCGAGTGTGCCGAGCAGCGGGCTCACTAACCTGCAAAAGTAAGAGACCTGGGTAGAAGACCCCCTGACCCCGGGTACCCTGAATTATACCAGCACCTCTGTCCTGGATCGCCTAGACTCCGCTGGTCAGAGGCCACCTTCTGGGCAGGGCTGCCCCACCTAAGGCTCTAGAGAGCTCCCAGACCCCGGGCAAGAGAAGACAGGCCCAGCCGAGGCCAGGGTAGGAAAAGAGGATGCAAGTGTCCGCCCTGAGAAAGCCTGCAGCTGAAGAGGTCTACCTGTGGGAATGTGGCTCCAAGCAAAGCGGACAACAGGAGCTCCTTCGGAGCTGGGACCCTGGCTCCCTCCAGGCTGTTTTGGACCAGTAGGATTGCCCTTGAGATTGAAGTGAGTTGCCGGGGAACTCCATGGGCTCAAGGCCCCAGGTTCCCTGGTCCCTTGGCACCCGCAGGTCCAATTTCCACCACGTCAGAATTTATGTCCGAACCCAGCTGGCCCATCCTGTCCCTGCAAGGAAGCGCTAGGTTACTGGGCGTGGGAAAGAGGGTAGCGCACAGACTTTCGTACAGCACAATTCGCTCCCTTTGGCTTTGCCCACTTTCTTCACACCCCTGGGTTCCTGATCCGGAAGGATGCAACCACCGCATCCCACATCCACCCATGCCCCTGACTCCTCCACTTCCTGTGTACACCTTGCTTTTCGTTCGCTTCTGCGAGGTCAACTCCTATGATTCTTCTGCGGCCTTTGGGCCAGGGCCCTCACTCTGGCCCCAGCGGGATCTTTAAGGTATTCTGCACAGCCAGACCCAGACAGGAGGCAGTTCGCTGAGTTCGCTCAGCCTGTGGCCTGCGGTACCTCTCTCCCTCCACCCCTGAGGCCACCACCTCACCACCTCGTCCCTCAGCAGCCCTTCCTTATTGATTTGGATTTGTTCTGAGGTGCTTGGTTTGCAGGTCTGGCTCCTGCAGAGGGGTTCTCTCTAAGCCAAATATCCAATCGCTTCCCAGAGGCAGCAGGGCAGTCCAGGCATCCTCAGACACACACCCGCAGGTGCACCGTAGCCTGAAGACCACACCACATCTGGCCGGCTGGGTGGCCTTGGGTAAGTCTTAACCTCTCTGAGCCTCGTTATCACCATAAGGCAGAAGGTTTAGGACCTTTAGTGACCGAAGACTTCCTTTGTTTAGGAAAGTGCACTGCCTTCTTGACGCTTGAACAAGGAAGCAAGGTTGGCGATAGAATGCTCCATCAGAAAGGACCTTTTGTTTTAACGAGTATTTTGGAAACCACTGGCAATTGTTTCTCTTGTTTGTGCAGTCGACGGGGTACCAAGCATCTGAATCCTCTCCAGTACTTGCCACATTTCCATTTGCTGAAAAGAACTCCGAGGTTAAACTCTGATCTGCCGCCACAAACGTTGTTATTTGAATCCAGACCCTGATCTGAGCTCCTCTTGGGTTTAAGCCTCGACTTACCTCCTTGGATGGGGAATGGAGTTCTGACTGGCTGAATGTTTCTGATTAAGAAAGTTTTGAAAGCCTCATTTTCTTTCTCTTTCTTTCTTTCTTTCTTTCTTTCTTTCTTTCTTTCTTTCTTTCTTTTTTTTAGACAGAGTTTTTCTGTCTCAAATCTGTAGACCAGATTGGCCTTGAACTCAGAACTCAGAGATCCACCTACCCCTTCCCCGTGTGCTGAGATTGAAGGCTTGTGCCACCATTTTCAAGTTAAAAAAAAAAAAAAGCCTCATTTTCAAGTAAACGATTTTGGTGGCATCCAAGGAAGGATGAAAGTAAGACCCACGGAGGGACTTTCGGCAAGTTATGGGAGAAGCCCATGAGGAAAAGCAACGACTTCCCAGCCAAGATAGAAAACATCATTCTAGCATTAGTCCTCTTTAGAATCTGTCCATCAGCTCATCTGTCTGTCTTCCTGTAGGGCCTGGATCCCTGCAGACCAACAGGAAGCAAGAGCTCAGAGGACACCCCCACCCCCAACACACACACAGCATCTTCCTCTCTAAGAAGGCTTCTCGGAGATCTAGTGAATCCCGCAGTTGCAGAGGTGGGGTTGGCTGTAGGGAAGCAGGGTGGAAACTGGAGCCTGAGACCCTCTGAGCAGGCAGCGGTGAGCTAGAGCGCGGCTCCCCGGAGCCAGGTCGGGGCCTGTGGTAGCCGGTACAGACCAAGCGTCCTGCGCCACAAGTCCCATTACACTGTATTTATGTTTCACTTTATTGTTTTTTTCCCTCTCTTATTATGGTCTCACTCTGGGGGAGGCAAAGGATATAATATATTCATCTTTATTATACCAAATCTGTGTGAAGCATTTAATAAAACGCTGTTTCCCCACAGCCAGGGACATTAGTATGAGCCATTCTTAAGTTAATGCTCCTGGGCAGAGAGCGCCTGCGTCACAGCGCCTGCTGCTGGCAGATAACGGGAAGTGCAGGCTAGCCTGCGCCTTGAGTGCTTTATCTATGGCACGTGTCTCCAGGACTCCCGGACTCCAGCCCCGCAGGAGGGTCTCAGATGAGCACAAAAACCCTCCGCGTTCCTAACCCTCGGTTTGCGCTGACGAAAACGGAGGGAATTTCATCGCGGACTCCCTTGAAGCGTAGAGACTAAGGATGCTGAGGGTGGAAGATCGTTGGGGAGGGGATGTATGAAGAAGGCCAGAGAGAAATAAATCAGGGCCGCAGGAGAGGTTCCAGACATCTTAGACCAAGTTGTGTCATAAGGCGGCAGAGAGATCAGCTCTAGGCTGAGGGGAAGCCCAGGAGGTCTCTCCACAGACTCCTGGGTCTCACCTCCAGGAGCCAAGAAAAGATTCCATCTGCCATGCTTGACCCTTGAACACTCTTTTTTTTTTTAATTTTATTTATTTTATTTTACAATACCATTCAGTTCTACATATCAGTCACGGGTTCCCCTATTCTCCCCCTTCCCACCCCCTCCGCTTCCCCCCAGCCCACCCCCCATTCCCACCTCCTCCAGGGCAAATCCTCCCCCGAGGACTGCGATCAACCTGGTAGACTCAGTCCAGGCAGGTCCAGTCCCTTCCTCCCAGACTGAGCCAAGCGTCCCTGCATAAGCTCCAGGTTTCAAACAGCCAACTCATGCAATGAGCACAGGACTCGGTCTTGAATACTCTTTCCTGGAAAGAAAAGTATCTCACCCAGTATCTCTCTGTCTCTCTCTGTGTGTCTCTTCCTCTCTCCTCTCCCTCTGTCTGTCTCTGTCTCTGTCTCTCTCTCTTTGTACGTGTGTATGTGTGTGTGTGTGTGTGTGTGTAATAACCGTAGACTTTACATACACTTCAGGTACTGTCCACTTTTTTTTTTTTTTTTTTTTGTCAGAGAAATTCCTTTCACCGTGTGAGTTCCCAGGGAATCAAACTTGGAAGCAAATGTATATATTGTGGCCCACACATGGGGTTTGTTTTTGCTTTGTTTTTTGAAACAGGATCTCACTAGGCAGCCCTGGCTGGCCTGGAACTTGCTATGTACGGCAGACTTGCCTCTGCCTCCTGTTCTTCCCTGCCGGGACTGGCCACACCTAGTGTTTTCACGTGAGTCCTGGGGGTCAAACTCAGACCCTCGTGCTTACATAGTAAGCCCTTGACCCACTGAGCTGTCAGCTCATCAGGAAAATCAGCTTAAGTCCCATTTTACAGTTAGTAAACTGAGGCTCAAAAGGATCAAGAGGCTTGCTTGAGGTGATCTAGCTAGGAAGAAGAATCACAGCTCACCTTGGAGCCTCTGTGTTTCTCCCTCCCACAAGCTCTCAGGATCCCTGTTCTCACCGCCACCACATTCTCTAGGGTTTTCATGGCCTATAAACTTTACATTCTGCTTTCTACACATTCGTGAAGACTCCCCTCAACACTCACACACACACACACACACACACACACACACACACACACACACACACACACACACACACACACGAGATGCCTAAGGGAAGGAGAAACATCGGCTGACTTTCATATCCAGGCCACTGTTCGATGCCCCCTAGAGCTCGCTACCTGGATACCTGTAGAGTCCAGATGTGGCCTGCTTTAGGCATCTTGAGGCAGTGCACCAGAGACAGCAGGGACTGGGCAAGGCCACCCAGAGACGCTGAGCAGGAGGAGCCTGACGAAGTCCGGAGATGCCCTCACTAGGGCTACAATTCCCTTGATTCCCAGTCTTCCTCTGTCCCAGTGCCCTGTCTGTGTGGTAGAGACCGTAGCAGCTTATGCCCTTGGTGAGGGCTGCCTGAGCAGGCTCCTTTGGCGGCTGGAGGTCCCTGAGGAATCTGACACCTCCCCTGAGCTGCCTGGGTGAGGAGCGTAGGGAGGACTCGGACTAACTGTGCAAGGCCGAGGCAGGAGGGTTCAGGGGCCTCGAGGTTAAGGAGACTTCTGATCCCCACGTTGTGTAGGCTCTCTTAAGTTTGTGTCTTGGCCAGCTGACCACTTCAGCCTCATCCCAGCTCCGTCAGGTGGTCCCCAGAGATGAAGACATAACCTGTGACCTGCTGAGAGGGGACAGGGAGGCCAAACTCAACACCTCCTTGTGAGCATCTTTCCAAAGGACAGATGAGCAAGCAGTGGAAGGCATTGCCTTGTGTGGAGTGGGGTATGCAAGCAGAGCTAGAACATGTGGACAAAAATAACCTTGTGTTCGTACCACCACCACCTCCACCACCACCACCACCATCACCACATCACCACCACCACCACCACCACCACAACATACCACACCACCACTACCATACCACCACCACACCACACCACCACCACCACCACACCACCACTACCACCACACAAGACCACTACTACACCATACCACCACCACTGCCACCACTACACCAATACCACACCACCACCATGCCACACCACTGCCGCCACCACCACTACCATACTACCACCACCACCACCATCACCACCATCCCACACCACAACCACAACACCAGACCACTATACCACACCACCACTACCACCACCACCACCACCACCACCACCACCACGCCACCGCCAATCCTTCCTGTTCCGTCATCACTTATTTTGTGTCAAGTAAGAGGTGTGCCCACACTGTCCCGTCTAATGCACGTTACTTTCAGCCATTTGCTCCCTTCCAGCTCTAACAGTTATCCTGTAAAATGAGGAAGACGTTGAGCTCATTGGGTGGTTTGCTGCTGCACTGTGGCTGTTATACATGGATTTGTCTCCAGCACAATATGTATGAGTGGGTTAGCTCTTCTCATGTGTGCGTGTGTGTGTGTGTGTGTGTGTGTGTGTGTGTGTGTGTGTGTGTGTGTGAGAGAGAGAGAGAGAGAGAGAGAGAGATATCTAACCCAAGTCAAACAAGGAACGTGATGACGCACAGCAGGTATGGAGTAAATACATCCTGGGGAAAAGCCCACGGATATACCAGTGTCTAAATGCTATCTATCTGCCTAGCCAGCTGTGTTTTAGACTGTCCTCTGCAGGGCCACTAAGGCGACCACTGGGGGAGCCAAGACTGCCTCTCCAGGTATTGCTTCCCGCTTTCCCACAGCTGAGTTGAGTAGCACTGATCCTCCAGGGCCTCCTACATTCGGTGTCAAGCTGGATGCTCGTTTGTGATAAGACAAGAACCAGCCCAGGTTCTCCCTGGGAAGAAGGACCCAAGGACATGACCTGCTCAAAGCTCTTGAGAAGCCTTGCAGATGGAGAAAGGGTCAGTGGAGGATCAGAGCCTGGAAAGGTCCCAGAGCCAAGAAATCTACGGGGCAGATCCGGGTCTGAGTTAATTTAACTCTGAAGTGGTTGGAGGGGAGAAACAAGAAACTCGGCTGGAGTGAGGTGGCCATAAGTACCAACAGTCAGAGTCAGGAATGTTCATGATAGTTTTGGGGATCGGCAGGCTGGCCTGGCTAACATGGCATAGGATACATGGGAAAGACATTTGTGAAATACCTTGACTGTCTAGAGCTGGAGACCAAAAAACAGAATTCAGAAATTAGGGTAACCAGGGACTGAAAATCAAGAACCCAAGACCAAAATTCAACACCTAATCCTGTCCGAAGCTATTCCCAGAGGTGTTTACAAGATGGTTCTTGTTTTTGTTGTTGTTATTGGTGGTGGTTTGTTTGTTTTGTTTTGAGATGGGTCTCATGTAGCCCAGGCTGGCCTTGAACTTTTGATGTAGTAGAGGATAACCTTAAGCTTCTGATCCTCATGCTTCTGATGCTTCAGTGGTGGGGTTACAGGTGAGCCCTACCATGCCCATTTTATGTGGTACTGGTGATTAAACCTAGGGCCTTGAGCATACTAGACAATCATTCAACCAACTGGACTTCAACACCTTCTCAAAGTGTGTTCCTGTTGGGAAACAAGATCGACTCTGCATTGGGGTGTGCCGGTGCCAGGCTATAATTCCAGCACTAAGGAGACAGAATAAAGAGGGATGGGAGTTCAAAGTTATCATCTGGTACTCAGGGAGTTTGAGGCCTTGTACTACATAAGACAACATCTCAAAAGAAAATCAAATAAACCAAGACCAAACCAAACAAAAAACAAAAACAAAACAAACAACAACAAAAAGGGACTCTTCGAATTGGTTGAGACAGAAAACCAAGCCAAGAGCCCAAGTTTGCTTGAAGACTGACTCCCAGGACTAGAATGACTTAGTTGTCTGGGGTTCCCCAAACCAGAGCTTGAAGCCTGGCACTTTCTGCCTCCCGGGCATCCTGGGATGGGGCAGCAGTCCTTGGGTGCTGTATAGCCACCAAGCCGCGGCCTTCCTGTCACCCTCTGATACAGGTGGGATCTTAGCGTCTAGCTGGACCCAGCTGGGCCATGCCGCTGGAAGGTGGAGCTGTGGTGCCTGTGGTGGTGCCAGCAGAGCCAGCGTGTGGGCGTTGCTGCGCCGGCCTGTCGCGGAGCGCGAGCCTGCCAAGGAGCCGGAGCGCTGTGCCGCGTGGAGGGTGTCAGGGGTGGTATTGTCGGCACACAAATGCTCAACTTTATGTACTTTTAACTAGAGGTGTAACAGATGGCCCCGTTTCTGTCCAAGCCAGAGAGACTGGTGCCCATTCCGGCTGTAGCCAATCAATCGCGCCACTCTGGGGGGAGCTACAAGCTGGGCTGGGAGGCCTGGAGCCAGCAGCCGCACAAGGCTGTCTGCTCGGGCTGCCTCCGCCAGCCGCTCATCCACAGGCCCCGAGGTAGGGAGGGCAGGCAAGTGGCATCCCTGCCTGGAGCCTGGACAAGGCCTGTCAGGGAGGGAGAGCCTCAGCCACATACCAGATTCCAAATGGCCAACGGAGATGGTCAAGTCCCCACCTGACCCCACTTGGTCCTACCTC